AATTTTATGAATCTATTTCAGCCAAATCCGATCGTTGTTTTCCATAAGGAGTCTCACTTGCTCTGTTTATGTAGTATTTGAAAAAAAGACAAAAAATGAAGTTACTTCACCGTGATGTCCCTTTTATTCATTAACAAGAACACACAAATAAGTGACGCACTGGGTTTTGTATACGCTTACCTGGAATTTTGAAACATTCCTCCACAAAATCCGTGAAATTAATGTCGACAAAAATATAGTGAGCACAAAAAAATAAAAAATAAACAAATCGTCAATCAGTATAGTATATGACTGTATTCTGTATGTTCCTTATATTTAGCGAGATGTTTATTTTAGCATGAAATCATAAGGAAAGAAGATCGCCAATTCAAATATCTCCCAAATATTGTAAAACACATTTCAAGAAACGATAAATACGTCATTTGTCTTACTTTGCAAATTCAAATTCTCTTAAAAATTTCTCTTAAAGCATAATCGCAAAAAAAACCCCAGAAGTTCAATCAATTACATTGTTTACAGCAAATTAACATATGTGCTGCTCTTCACAGACCTAGCAAGTTCACAAAAGGTGGTTCACAGAAAAGTTGTGTTTTAGAGCAAATTGTTTTCTTTTATGTTTGGTATTGATACATATAAAAACATTACACTCCGACCGGGTAAAGTATACTTCAAACAACCTTTAGTTCTCTATAACCGTCAAACACATATTTATGATGATTATATTTTAGAATGACTCAGTAACTACGACTTCGAGCCAGTATCCGTATTTATAACCCTAGCACCCATAAAACACATTTATGTTTGACATGTTTTGACAATTACCCATTTGACAATCACAAATGTTTTTCGAAATGGACTTTTGTGTTCTAACACTTTGATTTTATAAATAATTGGTAGACACCAAGATATTTCTCTCTTACTGCTATTTCAATTTCCTTTCACATTAGATCCGATACTCGCGAGCGTTATTTTCACAAATAATTGTCTTCGGAAGAACATTGCTAACACAGCGCTATAAAAAAACTTCAATGTCAGGAAAGCACTGTGCTCTGCTGTCTAGTACAAATGAAAATTGAAGTATCAGAGGTGAAAACACGGAGTCTAACGTAACAGGATCACTCTCACGTGATGCCAGAGTGTATTTATTCAGGACCAATACATATCACACGTGTAGGCTATGTATAAATCCCGGCCTTGTCAAAGTATGTTAGAACAATACAGACATGAATTGTTACACACAGATTTGGCGTTTCAGAAATTGTTTGGGAAGTTTCCAAAACTATCATTTTACATTTCAAATACATTCTTGCTGTGCGTTAAATGCAGAGATTAGGAAGAAAAACATTTCACAGGGACTTTTTTTTATGTATTTACAATGTTTGAACACAACACATTTCTGCGAATCTTGACAGCATATATATACCCTATGTTACTGAATTAATTTGCAAAATGCTAATATGACAAACACTTTTGGAGCAAAGTATTCAAATCATTTCAAAATAAAGTAGCAAAACAAATGGGGTATAGATATGTCTTGCATGAGAGCATATTCTGTTTCACTAAAGTCTTTTTTCGGATTGTGCCGCACCTGTATAGACAGTACCACACACGTAGATCTAAGAAGTCACATGTGGCGCTATATTCTACTATTGACTTATGTAATACGAGTGTTAGGCGTGCATTTATAAATACAGCACTAACCTATAGATAAAACGGAGAAACCTAAGTTAATCGTTCCTCATCGATTTTATTCTAGTTTGTGTTCTACAAGTTTCCCGGTTTCATTAAAGGAACACGATCTGTGTAATATGGGGCATTTAGTTACATCAATGAAATAGCCGTCAAAAACCGAGGAGCAACAAATACAATAGGTTAATATTAAGGCTCGTGCATGAGTGCAACACACTTTATGCAGGTAGTCGCTTTATTTCTTATTACAAAATAAATGTTCTCGGACTGTCTTACATCACAGGTAGATGCATACATATATAACGCAATTGCGTGTTTCATGTTTACTGTACTGCACACCAGGAAACGTTCGCCAAGTCAAACAGAAGCATAACTATTACAGTGGCCAAGTCTCGTAGAGGGCTGTATTTACTTACCCTTTCATGTGTTCTGCTGGGGAAAACGGCATTCCACTTTCGTAACATTTAACACCTTCTAAAATCGGTCTTTCACACATAGAAATAACCGTAGGTTTCGTATACAATCGAAACAAAATGACGTTTTTAAAGCATTTGTTTAAAAGCAGTCGTAACACTCTTTCATAAAACCCCGTTCATTCACGGTTACAATGTTATTAAGATCATGCCATTCGATTTTACTTAAAAACGTTTCCCTTTAATATTTGGTATCCTATTTGGAAAACTATTGCTGAATTTTGGCAACAACTGCACATAACGGTCATGAAAAGCAGAGCTCATTACTTCTCCTCGAACTGATATGCAGAAAAAGTCGAGCGGCTGTAGAGTAACCTACTTGGATTTTGTCGTAACACAATTTTTCTATTGATTTAGTCAAAGGAATGTACAGTTGACATTAAAAGAGAAGGGCGTGCTCCATAGGTAGTTGAACTAGTACAACAGTGAAATGGTTAGTTTTGCTTACGTCAAGAGGAGAAACATGACATAATATACTTACAGCGTTAAACACACAACAGTTAATATAACATAAATATCAGAAATAAGTACTCTACATTGACGGTAATTGATATAATGTGATGACGTGTATAGGTCTCACTCATGATATATTCCTTCGTGAATAGTGAAATGCATGCTTCTCTTTTAAGCCCAGCATACATTGTATCTCGCTTGCGTACTAAAACACCAGTTTATTCTGTAAAAACCTTAACACTAACTGCTCCCGTGTTGCCATTCTTTTCTCAGCAGCTACGCAATGAAAACGTTATTTGTTGGTGAAATTTACCATTTTAGCTACATCTACGAAAATTATAGTGACTCTACATTTTTTCTCCGCACGTTTCATATTGGCATATCACTCTTCGCTATGTTTACGTTATTTTCAAAGTAGTATCATTCCAGTCTATCGCTTGTTAACGTTCGTTTTTCTGTAGCAACACAAATATCAATCAATATCATATGAAGTTTTATTCAAGATACATATTTCTTATTATCTCATCCTAAAGAAGGTCGGGATTTGGTAATCATATCATGACGTTGGATCCGTGACGTCACGTTTTTTGTCTTAAATGTGACGTCACAATGTAGTAGCAGCATGGCTTTTATCTAAAACTGACATCACCCTGAATGAAATGAAAAAAGCATCATATCGTACTCCAAAATATAGCCTAGATGTATTCAAAGCACAACACGCTGGTACACGTAACACGCTGGTACACGTAACACGCTGGTCAGGGGATAAACCCTCGATAATGTTTTTCCAGCTTCCACTAAAAAGTTGGCAGCAATAAATTACTCGCACCAATATACTTACATGTAACAGCTGCAATCAATTAGTGTTTAAATGGCAAAAGGCTTACACGAGCATATTACATTTCGACTGGACTTCCATTACAAATCACATCACATTATATCTGTAATTTTGTATCATCATTTGTCATTACATGTAACAAAACATATCATTTATTGAAAATTACCACCATATTAGACAAGGCAATAATGTTGTGTTTTTACCAGATTTTAACAAACGTTTAGTAATTATATATATACTCTTAACTTGTATAATTGAGACAATTAAGATCGCTCCTACCATATACAACGAAAAATTGTAACTATGCATCAGAAACTATTGTTTTCCGGCATGACAATAGTTTTTAAAATCATTTCTAAAAAAGACCATACCGTGCGAATTTTTTATGAAAAAGAAATAAAGATTAAATAAAATATCGATAACAGCATTCTGTGTGGAAATACTCTGTGGCCGTAAAAGGATTCGAACCCGCGACCTCAGATTGTTATACTGTCACTCCTACCATCTGAGCTTCCTGGTCAACAGAAGTTCTTCAGCCAAACTTCACTACTGATATACTTAAAATAATTTGAAACCTGATATATCCAAAACGATGTTAAGGGGAGGTAATTGTACAATAACGGAATCTTTAGGTGTTTAAGCCTGCAGTGTGACAGGCATCCTTAAGTCGAAACAGCTCAAGTACACACATATAAATATAGCTTTTTAGGTAATTAAGTAATACTGTGCCGTTTAAATCTAGTGTTACAATGTACAAACGCTATACTATTTCGTTTTTTGGGATAAACTCAGTATTTTTAATTGAAACAGTTGGAAAGGGGTGCTATTCTGACATTGCCCTGTTGGAGATAGGAATACGATCAAACACATGAAATTAGACACAATTTTCTCAAATTAAAACAAATAAATTAATAAAATGTTTCCAATAATTCATGATTCAAGCGTTTGATAAGATAACGAAATTGGAGGAAACAATAATTTCTATCTAGATTGAATCTGTGGCATGTTTTCCATGCATTTAGATGTAAATGGTGTAATGCTTTCAATGTCGGCTGCTCACATTAAGGACTAAAATAGCAACCATGGTGTATGTTTTACTGCTTCGGAGACGTATAGGTGGGAAACTGTTCACCACTGGAAAGGTCAGTAAATGTCCCCGAGGTGGAATATAATACTTTGTCGTTTTCGTTTGATGGATATTGTCATCAATAATTTGTGAACTAAGCAGTTGTCTTGTTACATGAGACAAGTTTTGGTTTACGCACATCCAACAAAAAACTTGTCAATTTATTGAGTCCCACGGTTTACATACACAGTGCATTCCGTCAGACTGTCGGGACAGTGCTGTAAATATACGTACGCATGTATCAACATCACAGCCAGTGCCTGCCAACAATTACATGCACCTGTGTTAGTTGTATTCACGTGCAATTTCCAAGTTATGTTTATATACGCAGTTATGACTAAGTGACATAACATGTCTTTGATATACGATTAGCCAGGCACAGTGCACGTGTGTTACAACCACGCGTGTATACACGTGTAAAACAATTCCTCGGGAGCTAGAGGACGGTGTTTTACCACATTATTTGCGTGTTAATTGATGTAAAATCATTGTACACGCGTTCCCCCTGCATTTAGCAGCTGATGCACTGCCAATAGTAACGTTCCTATGCATAGTGTCACAGTGGGACTGTTGTCATACCCAGTATGTGTCACTATGATTTAGCACCTCAACACTTCGGTGTGCTGATAAGAGCATTAGCAAGGACAAATTAGTTCTAGTCAACACCGAACGCCTAGCCGGATGGTATTCATTAAACGGCAGTTCCAAAATCATAGCAATATAATATCGACTACAAAAAAATCCGGAACTTCTAATTCGGAGAAAAGACTATACCAAACGAAATACTTTTTAAGAAGTAATGGACGATTTTATGGCCTTCGTTACATGTTCTAGTTGCATTATAATTTGACATAGTACGTAGCAATCTTACTACAGTGGCCTATTAGGACACAGCAGAGATATACTTTAACCCTTCCTTGGCATTCCAGACGTACACGGCTTCAAAGTTTCTTTCCGTATGTTTGATAACACGAACAACGTTAATAACATACACTCGGATTGCACATGGCAATAAACTTGCGTAATGTTTTTTTTGCGGCCAGATGTTCCACCAACAAAAGTGTTCCTTTTACGGTTAATACTCGACCACTGAGTTCTCTTCCAATGGCCGGCATTTTTTTCTGTACCGATTTGTCTTGGTGGTAATCAGTGGTGTTTCGGCAGGCTGGTTTGTTTAGAGCTGTTACGTGCTGGAGACGTAATATATATGTATCCCTGTCATCGTCTTGTGTATTCGATAGGCATGGCTATAGAGCCTATTCGTCACACAAGTACTGTAACCGTGATATAATAATGCAAGGACCTAGTGGTGCGATTGTACTAGATACGACTGCCATTGTGCCGTTATTGGATTTATCAAAATTATCGAAACGACAGAGTAACATCAACCAGACGTCACACTGGGACAAACGGGATTAAAAATGTCCAGAAACATTACAATGTCTTCTGAATTGGATCTTCGGATTATTATCACAAAATTAGCCAAGCAAGGCAGACGGGACTCCAGCGGGGACCTCATACCGGTGAGCAAACGTCCGAAGGTCACGTAATACATACGCGGCTTCTCCTGACGTCCAACCATCTGTTGCAGATGTGTGTCGGACGTGGGAGGACTGTCGGTGTGATTTAAGCTAGGATTTGGTTTGTTTGATGTGATTTGTGTTGTTAGTGGCACGCCATCCTTGGTAACAATGTGCCTGATGTCTGAGATTCAGGCTTGAAAGCGTGAGTTTGGCACAAAACGTTGGTCGGTAAGAACAAATACACACACATTTGGAAGTTCAATCACTCATAACGTGTGAAGAAATATCCAAAATATTTACATAATTATGTTTCTTTGTGCTATTGTACTATTGACCGTTTATTTGATATGTAGATGTAATCATTTTGAAAATAAGTGTTCATCACAAAAAACTATAATAAATATAAAACTAAAAATAATGTTTAGAAACCTCGCAATTGGAAAATCCGAAAAACCATGTATTAATCACTTGGGTGAATCCGAAGCATGTTGTAGCTTATCCTAGATAATTGTTAACAATGTGTCTGTCCAATATAGATTGTGTTTAAGATACTCCAACTATAAATAAGCAATTTGGCAAATATTCCAAAAAATATGATAAAAATATATTTATATCCTTTTATTTTGGAATTATTGAGATGACAAAATAACAACAAATGTGTTTTTAGGAAAGTTTTGTTCATGATTTTAGTTATATAAAAGTTTCTTCAGAAAATTATGTTTATGTCTTATGTTCCAGTTTGTACAATGATAGAAATCAGACATCAAATCTTTCCTTAATCATATCTGCTTCTTAACTCAACAGATAAGATCAATGTAGATATATATAGCGTCAACGTATTGTATTGATATACCTTCTATTTATATCCAAAACCCTCTTAATTGCATTTTACCTTTGTGTCAATTGCCGTTATCTTGCCGGGACCGTCGTCGTAAACCTGTAGCGAAACCATAGGTACCAATGTATATTGTGGCGTAACATTTATATATACCAAGTTATCGCTACTACTCACTTACAGGCAATTCTACGAGAACGGTTTGATGTGTATATTATCACTGTACAAAAGATACTTACGCAACGCGATGGAATATCTACGGCAAATTGCAATTGAATTTACGGTCCCATGTGGAGACACAATCTCGTTGAAACCATTTCAAAAACAGACATAGATAATGCTACTTAAGATACCTTTCCGTGCATTGCAGGAATGCCCTCTCCAGCTTAAACACCGCAGCGATTTTAAGCACATCCGGATTCTAATGCATAAAATAACATAAATATAGTTTTCAGATATGATACATTGTATATATATAAATATCATTTTACTTTTTAAAGCTTCATTTTATTAAATTTAGTTACATGGGAAAATGAACGAACTTGTTATTTAAGAGCGTATTATTATAATTTTTTATGGTCGTACTACATACCCGTTAACCTGCAAGTCAATGCTGTCATTGACTGTACCATTATTGCCATGTTATGTTAATTAAAATTACATAACATTGTGCAAAAACTTAAATATGCTCCTTCTTGATTTTAACAAAATAATTGAGTTTTACATAATTTACATGTTTATATCACTATTTGTTCGGGATTTATGTACATTGTAAGAAGGGGCTAGGAAACCTACTTCGAAATCGTCAGAGTTGTGGACGTTCTGTCAGGGCTTCAATACGTTACGCAATGTAGTGTCCTATAACGGATTCACATTGTCCGGAAAGCTGTAATTGTGGTCACAGACCAGAACTATATAACATGGAAGACCAGCACAAGAACATCAGAATTAAGAATTTGAGATATTGACATATATTTCAGTTTTAAGATTTTTATGAAGCAAATTGTTACAAGATATACGAAATAAACAATATTGCATTTAAAAGTTGAAATTTCGATATAGAAAGCCAAATAAAAGGAAGATTGTATTGCACCATTTGACCATGTTGTCTATTAAAGACTTTCAGTAGCATCAAAAATGAAAAGAACAAAATAATTGCCCAAAATGTTCGGCAACATATGTAGACATATTACATATATATAAAAAAGGGACATGTGCCTTCATTTATCATTTATCCATCATAAGATACTGTTGAAAAATATTGAAAGTAACTTTTTTTAGAATTATACTTTTTTTTAATTTTCAGATATACAAAGAACCCATGTGTGTTCCATTTTGATAAGTACAAGTATACAATGGTATGGCTTAATCGTTCGCGAATCGTCAAAATGATTATCTTTTTGTTTTTGTTTTGGTCAATGCAGAATCTGCTTATAACATAAAGCATTACAGAAAAGCTAACCACCTAAAGGCATACACTATTCACTTGTAATACGAAGTTAAGTAACACATTTTAAAAATTAACTTGAAAGTCTGTGCAGAAAACCACTAAATATTATATATAAGGTCATTACATTGTATGTAAATTACAAAAGTGTTACGTATGTATTAACTGCACTTCTCTATGAAAGGTATATTCTGAGAACCCATTATCTGAAAGTACATTGATATATAGCACACGCACAAACCGTATGACTTAAGGAATCTGACAGTCGATGGTGATGTGACTTGAAACCTATCAAACAATACCATTCATTCATACATTCTGTTAAATGCTGTTTAGCTCTGTTGAATGTATTAAGTCTAGAAAACCAACATGATGCTTAAATATGCGAAAAATGTAGGTGAACCCATCTTTAAGTCGAACAGTATCTGTGCGGTTGCGAAATCTGTATTCGTTAACGTTGATTCAACCCCCGGTGTCGTAGACGCATTGCATCGGATATCTAAACGGGAAATTAGGATAAATATTTAGACAATATCTATCTCTATAGCACATCCAAATTCGAATTCAACTCATTTTTTACAAAGATGTTTGGTTTGAAAAAATAAGCACTGACCCTTCTAACGTACGCTGATGAGTTTCTTAACAGGAGTCGTAACCGTGTTCTTCTTCATGTATTTAGAGATAACTGCTATGCTGTCAATCAAACAGTATAACCAGACATAACATGACAGGGATCAAATATTCCCCAAAAATACATCATTGGTACTCTGCCACGTTATAGCGTGATAGACAGGAAAAAGTAAATAGGGTTATTATGTTTTTCCATAATTTGACTAAAGGGTACACTAGCTGCTTATATTGATATTAACGAACTTTTTATAATGAGCAGTTTTTGCAGCAAGTCAGTTTCCTTTTCGACATTGCATGACAAAGTTATATTGTTTGACACTACTTACCAAATGAATGTAATTTTGTCGAAAAGCCAGTAGAAATGTAACTTATTTCTTATTGATGATGTGTCAGGTCTATGATTGACAGAGAATGCTGTTGGAAGCATCCTCGTGCAAGCAGACGACAGGCCGTGTGAAATCCATTAACTCCGATGACGTAGGGCGTTATTGTCGGCAGCTGGTTTTGCAATGCGTTGGTTCCGGGATTTAATTAATTGGTCTAAATGTCAATGAGTCATTTGTCCGGTAGCTTATTCTGGTTCGTACACATCCGAGGGGTCATTCTCGTCTGGAACCTAAATATGTGTCCAATGAGTTTAATCAAGTGCGGAAATATGATAGGTCCTGAGGGCTACCCTTCTCACGTACACTGGTAATAAGCATTGTCGTCCTTTGGAACATTTTCGTGCAGAGAAGTAATACATTGTACGCGCACCGTAAATTATTTCCATGCTGAAATCTTATATTTACCCTGTGAGATATTTCTGCTGCAGAATCGATCTGTCAAAAAACTGTTAAGTAGGGATCATTTTTTTTTTTTTTTTCTTTGAAACCTTCCTGAAAGTTGGCAATTTAACAATCAAACAAAAGGCGAATTTATAAGTCGACGTGTAAGTCAATAACAAAATAAATAAACAAATCTAAAACAAGACCAAATTAACAAAACAAGGAACCAAAAAACAGCTACATATATGAAGTACTTTATTTTTTATGTTAATGTTTTGATGTTAAAGTAAACATTAGACACGCTGCACAAATCGTGATAATGTACCGTAAGACCGGTCTGTGTATGTACACAATATATACTGTAATAAGGTATCTATTTGCTGCGCTGTCAAATTTCCGATTTTATACTAGTTGAGGTGAATCTATGAAAACTCTTCCGTCTGTAAAAGTTATTTCCAAAACCCGAACCTACCGCTGGATACGAACAATGTAGTAACACTTTTTCTTTTAAACCTATGTTTTATATTGGTTTACCCAAACAAAGTATTGATACTGTAGGTGTATCTTAATACTTTTAGTTGTACCCGTATATATATCGTCGTATTGTTCTTTTGTCTCGATTGTTTTGTCTGTCAGCAAATTATGAATGCTTTTATATAAGATTTTCAAACATGTGTAAACTAATCTATAATATTTTTTTAATACAAGCTTCTGACTTCATTCTTTTCTTTTTAGTTGAGCCAGTTGACCGAGGACAAAGTTCATGGTATGTATATCACAAAAATATCTAAGTATAGTAAACCTTCGTTATACTGCCGTAAAACAATATTTTGGCATTATAAAGGATATGTTGATATTTAGAGGAAAAGATATAAAAGAATCGTGAAAACACCCCAAAAAATGAGGACTTGAAAAATGTTGGTAGGTAGCAAAGTGACAAATAAAAAGGAAAAGCATTAAATCGAGGATGAACTGTAAAGTGAAATCAATGATATGTTAATTCATTATTGAGCTTTGATCTTTATATCTTATAATACTTTTCGGTAAATCATTGATAAGACGGAGTGAGTTTTTAACATATCATGCAAGTAGAAAAAATATATAGCTAAAATGAGTTGGAGTTCATTAATATTTTGTCTGTTCTGTATTCCAAGTGTTTTCTAACCACTTTGCTATATTGCTTTCCATTGTCTTTTCAACAACAATCTTCTATGAAATATACTTAAGTGCTCTGGCATCATCTGAGTACGCTGTACACAAACGGTCTAAATGGTTTGAGATTCTATTTTTGATACGCTGTCTCCTAGCATACAAGTTTTAGGAAAACATCAAGAATCTCACTGTTGATGTGTTCGTTTCCTACCTGCCACTGTCTGCTCACTTTGATGGATTGGTGGTAGATTTCTTGGCTCTACGGCGCCATTGCACATACAAGCTTGAAAGTCGTTACATCAAAGACACAATGGCTACCTAATTATACAGAGTAGTATATATGCTCTCGTTCTGTGCCTCAGAGGCTAGAGTTCACTTGTGCACGGGCGGATTGAAAACCAATGTACGGCCTAGCACCAATGCTATGTCAGGGTTCGAAATCCCTCCCTCTTTTTTGAGATAGCAGGATTTATTTATTTATTCATATCCATCCTTTCCCTTTGTGACTTGGAATAAACAGCCATGTTTCGAGTGGATCCACAAGGTAAGATCACAAATGCTAAAAAGAAATTATAACTTGGAAATTTTGATATATTATCTTTCATTGAAATCAAACATCGTTATTGGTTTGCTGAAATCGTTTTGCTATGCCAAGGTTAGTTTTTACTCATGTATACAATTTCACTCTCTTTAAAATTCTTAGACGTATCCGTCATTTTAAAATTAAATTGAGTAAGTGATTGAATGAAACTTATTTGGGATTGCAATGTTAGCGCCAAAATAATTTTAAAAAAATATGCAAACCCTGATTCTAGTTATAACACTTGAAGACATCCGCAATAATAGGAAGGTGACGTCTCCTATAGGACTCGTAACACGTCTCCCCATGTTGCTGCTGTAACTTGTAATAACACATCTGACAGACATTGTTTCTCTAACCACGCACTAATGGAACCATATTGTTTGACACACTAAAGCAATTGCGAACCGGAAGTAGATACTTAAACGTACAAAGATAATAACTGTACATAACAACCGTCGGTGGTTGTACCACAGTGTTTATAAGATGAAATGGTGGCATCGGAATGCCAATTGACGTTATTTCCTATTCATAATTTAGAACCAAACGCGATCAGTTTTGTAACTGACATATACATTGTTGTGCTACGCAGATAGGATCGCTACACGCAACTTTAATAAGATAAATGATGATATGGAAATCCAAACTGATTCTAGATGACCTGTTGGATTATAATGCAAATTATTGTATGTATTTGTTTGGCATACTTGTTTGAATTACAGCAAAGGACATTTAAATTTTAAAACGTTTTCATTTCTCAATTGAATAATAGGAAAATAGTCACTAACAAGTCTACGTCATCGATAAATAAAGAGTAAAATGGCCGGTGGACAAAACTTGATTGATTTTATATATCAAAAGTTGAATGATATTTTCAATTGGGTGTCCAAGTTTTTTGAGAAGCTATTTGAACTGAGCATATAAATAGGATATCGCCAGAGATGTTTAGTGCTTTTTTATATTTAAACTGCATATAAAGAAGGAAATCGCTGCCACATATGTTTTTACCTTTGGTCGATCTGACTTCTTTCTTTTATTTCGCGAAGGTACAAACAAGTCAGATTATACTGTGACGTCAGTGTTGCTAAGAGACTCATTGAATTCTAGCATTTCAAAGAAAATCGGTTGTTTTCTCCTTCGTCTAAGGTATAAATCTATGTTCCAAGACCATGTCGTACTATTTAAATATCTTTAAACTCAATTTACGATTTACTTCATTATAAAATTAGAAATTATTTCTTGTACATGTACAACAATAATGAAGCAATTTATTTTCCCAAATTATATTAATTACTCTTGTCAGCTCGGATGGAAGAACGCAGGGCCTTACTGTGGGAGCAGCTACTTAAGCTTTGCTGGGAAAATAATGAGAAAAACAAACAAATATAAATAGATAAAATGAAAAACAAAAAACCCGAAACGTAAAAGCCAGATGGAGTCCATAGCAATCATATTAAGTATGCGCTCATAAACGTATACAATTAACTGCTACCGTCATTAAGCGTACTTGATAATGCTCAGATAACATCAAGATCGTTGTAATACTGCTACCTATTGATAAATATGTCTGGCTATAAATTCGTCCTCATTTTATTAAAGCAATAACGTAGGATTTCAATGTAATGCCAAATAATAAATTATTGTAAAAATTAGACTTGTAAATTATAAGCGTTAGTTGGAGACATTAGGTTAAGTAAAATATAGGAGTCTTGCTTTTGTTTTGATTGAAAATATTGAAATATATTCAAGTATCTTTATCATTTTTGATAACTGTTGGTGTATACGATAAACCCTGCACTGTTGAGCCTTTTTACATCAAAAGATTTTACCTGTTTATCAAACAATGACAAAAAAGGCATGCGGCATACTCTTGCACACACCTGGTGTCCGTTTGTTGAAAACCAAAAGTTAAATACTTTAATAGAAATTTGTCTTTCAAAATCAAGTTAACAGTTAGCGAAAACATCATTTTAGCGTGAGAAATCAATGTTTGAATAGAACTTAAATGACCATTTTTAGCTTAGAATATGCTTTTATATATTTCAAACGCATCAGTTTCTTCAAATGAGTCAGAAATAAAAGGTAAAAAGGTAAAAAACAGACAACTTCATTGAATACAAGTGTGGTGAATCCTGTAGTACAAACAGGCTTGTGATATTGTGCAGATACGTCAGCGAAACCTTCGTCAGTAGCATGGATGTAACTTGATCACCTCTGTAACAAATATGTGCAGTTGTTATACCTTAACTGTGTCTTTATAGCACTACATTAAATATATCTAGGATTACCAATTCATAATTTCCTCACCATTAAATGTAAACAAAACATACCACAGCGTCATTATATACTGTAAGGACAAAACATACCACAGCGTCATTATATACTGTAAGGACAAAATCTACCACAACGTCAACAAACACTGTAAGGATAAAATATACCACAGCGTCAACATATACTGTAAGGACAAAACATACAACAGCGTCATTATATACTGTAAGGACAAATCTACCACAACGTCAACAAACACTGTAAGTATAAAATATACCACAGCGTCAACATATACCGTAAGGACAAAATATACCACAGCGTCATTATATACTGTAACGACAATATCTACCACAACGTCAACATATACTGTAAAGACAAAATATACCACAGCGTCATTATATACTGTAAGGATAAAATATACCACAGCGTCAACATATACTGTAAGGACAAAATATACCACAGCTTCAACATAAAAAGACAGAATAAACCACCAAGTCCAAATACAACGGCAACATTACCATAGCTTCAACATACAAGGACAAAATATAACACAACCTCAACACATAACGTCAAAATATACCACAGAATTACCACACAAGTTATATCGCATCGCTTACACACTTTCATACAATACTATACCCCTGCGTCAACATACCAAGACGAACCATACCGCAGCGCCAAAACACAAGGACACACTATACTTCATAGTGTCAACAAAAATAAACGAGATATTATTCTGCAGCGAACATGCATAATACATAATGTATACCACACCGTCAATAAATAAGTCAAAATATACCAGGACGTCAAAACCTACCGAAGCAAAGCAAAATGTTCCACAGCGTGTTTAAACAAGGACATGTCATACCATACCGTCAAAGCAACTGGTTAAAATTGGGAAAATCAAAACGGGCATGATGAGAACACAATATGAAACAGAAATATCAAATAAGAGAGAAAGACAACATGAACAAAAACAACAACAATGTTCTGATTCAGACGTCCTTCAACAATTTCCCTCTCAGAATCATAGGCATACGATATGTTTATGTATGATGATACTGTTACCCCAGCAACTTACAGCTTAGTAAGAGTTTGCGAGATGTTTTTTAAAGTTTCAAGTAGGAATAAAGCAAAATCTAAAACATCCTACCTAATTTCATTGTTAGAGATTGTTAAGGAAAGATTCTATTGATATATATAAGGATCAAATTTATATTGGAAAACCCTGTTAGTGTAAACATTTGAATTTACTTTGAGCAACTGTTGTCTTTTTTTGCTCGGTAGATATGTTAGTGGAGTTATTTGTACTGGTGTATTCTATTTTTTGCACCAGTACGTTCTGTTTCTACATGTTTTGTATAACTTCATCAGCCCCAGTACCTGTCAGACTAAGATATGATGACGAGTTTCATATCCGCCATCTGGTGTACGCCACGAGCTGCTCGTCCTCATCAAAACGTGTGCACTCCGCTTGTTAGTACCTCAAATCAACACAATACACGTGTTCCGGTGTCGAATAGTCTGTTCGCGTTCTCTAACAAACATGTTGACTGGAGCAATAGTAATCACAACCACAAAGGCAGCCCTGGGCAAGTTTCGGGGTGAACCAACAATGCAATTATTTCTATTGTTATTCTATTTCTTATCAAAACAATCACGTTTATTGACCGTTATGTTGTGTTAATACTAAGCACTGTCATGTACAACAAACAGCATCATGTAAGTGGCTTTTTTTAAACAGCACGAGATTACCACGGTGTGAACAAACTCGAAAAGTGAGAAAACTAGGGCAAAATATCATCAACGTACAAGGAGAATAAGTCAATGTGTTCCACAATGGTAAGAGTGTTGAGCTTGATTGACGACACCCACGGTCTAAGTTTGGGTCAAATTCAAGTAATGGCAAGTAATCAAAGTTAGAACCGCGGTAGTGACATTGAAAGTTCAGTGCTGTTTTCAATTATTAAAAATAAATAAAAAAATATCAAAATGGTCATACCAGTTTTAAGCTGAGAAAAAATAAGCATTTTTACGAACAGACACGCCTTTTATTTTGACTTATCTGTGCTTTCTTCTGATTGGTGCACTTTTTGATACGTACGTTTTTTGTAATGTGTTATAAATGGAACTGTATGATAAGCAATCCTTCGTTTTTTCACATATAGGATTGTTTTTCTTTATGATTTTAATGACGTTAAAAAGTTACAAAATTCGTGTTATTGGAAGCACACTCTACAAACATCTACTAACTAGTACCACATGATTGGATCTCGTTGTACCTCAAACTTAATGGCAAATTCGTTATCTCATCCTTTGTTCGTAACTATCAAATAACGCAAAAACAAATCGAATCTTGAAATGTATTATTTGTTGGTTAAGTAGTTTGTTCTGCTGTTTAGAGACCACCGGCTGTGTGTTTATATGATTATGTATGAACTATAATCGACTCCATGTTGATAATATAAACTAAATTAAATTGCTTGTCTTAAATCTTACTGTATCCAGCATTTAACACAAACCTTGAACGCCTGTCCTAAAGCTATAGTATGTAAAGAATATTGTTACATTTCATTATACACGTTTAAGAACACGCTTATACGGAAAGGAAAAACAGAAATAATAGTCAAGTCTACCACACATCAGCAGATACATACCCCTAAGCTTCATTTTCCATGCTGAAATAAATGAAGTCGTTCAAGTTATTAGAGAGTGTTGGGTATACTTTATATATATTAACTTTATTTTATTTTACAACAACTTTGAAACAAGTTTTCAAACATATGTCAATCACTCCTGTTAGGTCGGATGGATGCGCGCATAGGGTCTTAATGGGAGAGGAAACCAATGCAAAGTGCCAGGAGAAAACCAACGTGGTCGGGCAGATTACCTAATACTTTTTCATGTTCGATCAGAAATCGAAACCAAACCGCGATTGCGTTATCCACTGCACCAACGACCACCCAACTTAAATTCAGTTAACATAGATATAAGTTAAAGGCTATGAAAAAACCCTTTTATTATCAGATAAAAAGAACAACGTAGAACGTCAATTAATTGCTGTACAGGTAAGGGTTTAACGAATCTGTTTATTAGTTTCGTATGAGCTACGGTATTGCATGGCTTTATGGCATCTCAGACCCCTGCAGATGTACACACCTCAAGTTACAATTTCTCGAAAGAGAAGGTACACCAAAACAATGTTATGTAAAGATTGCATTATAATAAAATGCCTGTATGACGCTCATATGATTTGCATAATATTTTGCAAGATTGAACGAAATTCATTCAGTAGTGTTTTTGGTAGTTTTTGACACTGATCGGAAGTTTCTTTCAAAGACAATAATTGCCTATTTGCCCATCATGGCTTGTGGAATGTTCCTTTTTTGTATGTGTCCCTGGAAGTTGGTACTGTCCTATATGTCAACGACTGTGTGTTCCGAAAGTGGTTCTTTACGATGACGCTGATGTATAATTGTTTTCTATGTTACTTTAGAAAACGATATTAATCTGCAAGTAAGATGGTATTGATTGTTCAATATTCGATTGTATGTAATAGAATTTCATCTAGTATTTAATATACAATTATCTCCTTTTGTCTGTTTTGTCTAGGTTAGTCTCCTTTACGACTGTTATATGAATTGAGAGAATCGTGGGATCGTCGTATTCGAGGCAGATTAATTTAAAATTTATACATGTGATGACAATCAAAACTTACATTTTACACTTATCTTTCAACATGTTATAATGTGTAGTGTATTTGATAAAATAAACCGTTTTGTATACAATGACTACTTTTGATCACATCTATTGCTTACAAAGATTGATATATTCAGGTTTGATGTAAAACATCTAATTAAACATAAATATTGTATGTAAAAAAACTTAGAACAAGGAACCTTCGAGAAATTTATCATAGCTCCTTAAAAATATAAATTGGTACATGCATAAGTTGTTTCATATGTGTTCCCCTCATCCAAGAGGCCTCAATGCCAGACGTAACATATGGTACTAATAGTGTGATGTTAAATTCTTGGTTGATCACTTACAAAGTGGTTGCAAAAATATTCAGCCTGCCATAACACCACACATTACACACAGCCGCGCCACCTTTTATTGTCTTTTTAGTAATTAAACGGTGCCGGTTTGTGTTATGCAATATTGCGCTCCGTTTTTATGGTTTGTTTTGTCAAATACTATACAAATAGTACATATCAAATGATTTTAAAACAAATATAAAATTGGCGAATAGGTATTTAGTTAACGAAAGTTTGCAAGGAAGGATTATAGTACCTTTGCTAATCCCAATTTGTGTTGTGTGTTATCTTAAGCCACAGAATAATTCGTACATCATTAAAGTTTTGTTTTGGCAGTCGTGTTTAAGCATTGGTTATTTCCATTTCCCAGGAACTGTTTGTCAGCATTAACATTTCTTTTTAAGAACAAGCTTTCTGGCTGATATTTGGTAAAATTTCAATTATGAAACAGATAAAGTATCATGGATATTCTTTTTGCAGAAAAGTATACGCTAACTTCTATTAAATAAAATTTAAGCAGATCATTTAAAAATAATATGAATATTTTGTGGAGTTAGCGTGAGCCCGTCTAATTTAAATGGCATAAAGTTATCATATAGTCTAACAGCTTCATTTGTCAATTATCAATTTCGTGTATACGGTTGCTAAGAATCACGATATTTTCGCTTGTGCTTATTTTCGAATCTATGCTTGTAGGTTTTGGTGTGCGATTGAGAGGACGCTATTTCAATATTAATGGCATCTATCTGTTGTATAAAGAACTGGAGAATGATTTCAAATCGCGAAAGGTCTCGTCGCGAATGAAGGCAAAAGCTTATTTCTCGCGAAAATAAAGTGAGTTTAGAAGTGAAGATATCTTCTGATAATTCACGTATGTATTGACGGTATAAGTGAAGAGATTAAGGTGAATTTTAGTCACTATTATTGACACAGGATTTGTCCAGTACCCACAGAGAAACCCCATGGTTCTGGTACAGCATGTGAAACATTCGAGATATTATTTTAAAGCGGATGATCATTCGGTGGCATTTCTTTTTTCAACAGAATACAAGGAAGCATTCAACATGTATGATAAGGACCATGATGGCATCATCTCCACACAGAAGCTTGGGGCGGTACTGCGGGCTCTGGGACACAACCCTACCGAGATTGAGATGCAGGAAATGATTGACGAGATAGATTCCGAAGGTAAAAACCACACCACACGCCTACCTTGACGCAATATATTGTTTTTTTGTGGGTTTTCTTTTCATTTTTGTTGAGCGTTCAAAATAGCCTTCATTTTGGCTTTTTGGCGTGAGGTAAACTTGGTAGAGAACCTAACAATGATTATATTGTTTTTTTTATTAGAGATTGTTTGAGGTATTGATTAAATTTATTTGCAGTAGCATATTTTTGTTGTATTACAATACATTCCGATATCAGTGTGTATTATTGGACTAGGACAATACATTTCTGAAAGAATAGGACAATACATTCCTGAAAGAAAAAAAGAGAATTATGACAATGTAGGTGATTGGTCCTTTGTTAACTCCATCATCTCTATAACGGTTTATTTGATTGTGTTATAAATTACATCATCTTTTTAGCAGTGTTCCTCATTGGTCTGAATTATTTACATAATCCCTTTAGCAGCGATTTACTTATTTAATTACCTCACTCTTGTAACAACAATCTGAGTTACGGTCCCTTGACGCCATTTATTTAATATCCAACATTTGAGTCAGAATTATGTTACCATTTCAATCCGACTTAATGCTTAGGTTTAAATTAATGTAACGGTGGGATAACTATGAACGCCATGGTTTAATGTGTTTACGTCATCATTACTATTACAGTTCAACTATAACATCTGATACCCCTTACCCTTACTTTGATGGTCTATTCTTTAAACAGGAACATAGGTCATTAAGTAAACGTTCTATGCGGTTTAATCATTAAAAAATTGTTTAAAGACAATCTGAGTGTCATCGGCAATACTTATAATGCTGAAATGTATAATGCGAACTCGTTTCAGAGTCACGCGTGAAATACTTGCTGAATAAACATTGGATATAAAATAAAACTTAGGATTAACAATATTCCGTCCCTTTGACTTACATCAACACCTATTTGTAAGCTGTCCATGCTTTTTAACAGCGAGTGAAGATGATTGCTATCAGTCTGAATATTATATAAACGGCGTATACATGAATTTAATCCTACATTGAAATCCTATATCTGATGCATTGTCATTAAGATGGTAGATCTTTGCGCAATCGAAATGTAGGTTCTTATTCAAAACGTCCAAATATTCGTATAGGCGTTTTGTTTAGGATGAAAAGCTGTCAAATTCTTGTGTATATATAGATACCTATAAACTGTGTGGCTTTAATAATAACACGCAATATCGCGATGGCGTCCCTAGATAGGAGGCAGGTCTATATCATTTATGTTGTCTCTGACAGCAGCCAGATTCTCAGTTTCCCCGGTTGATGGGGGAGTTGATATCAAATGATGCGTTCAAGTATTGCGGTATTCTCCAACTATCTGAGGAGATATTCGCGGGGTTTTGGCGCTGGTTTGATAGTAAGTGTAGAAGCATATTATAAAAAGATTATAAAGCATTTAAAATGTCAAATCATAATAACATGGATTCAAATATCTGCAAAAAACTTACCAGTTGATAGGGGTTTGTATTACTGGCAGGCTTTTAAACAACACCATTCCTGGAGCCAACTTAATACTGCCAAAATGTTTCCAGTCTATCTGATGTGTTTCAAGTATGCAGGCTCTAAATTTAGAACGGGCGATATTTTGTTTATGAATTATAAATGCAAGCATAGCTGATACCAGATAAGCATGCCTGTTGCAGGTCGTTAAGTTCGCGGCAATCGTGATACAGTCCGAGGGTATGAGTTCAGCTGTGCTTTTAACATTCCTAATCAATAATAATGTTGCCTTATTTTCTTAAACAAATAATTAACTTATTTTTTTTCTTTTTTCAACCTATCTTTAATCTGTCTTTTTAACATTTAGAAATGTCAAGGAAAAACGTCAATGTGAAAACAGAAAAGACAAGTATATTTCGAACCTTAGTGAATAAGTCTTTAAGCGATTTTAAGGATATTTATTGCCAGAATCTCATTCAGGTATTAAACATTTTCACGACCTGGCTCTGTTTAGGATTTAGATAATTGTGTTTTATGAAAGCTTCGTTTTGACGATGTTTCGGAAATGTTTTTGATGATCTCAACTCATGTTTGCATTTAATCCAGATGGGGATTATCAATTTTAATATCAATATCTATCATGTGTCAATTACATGGCATAATTCAGTGTTAATAAACACGTCCCGTATGTACGTCGATAATAAAACACGAATTATGGTTACTCGCAGTGTTAATTTATATAATACAACTGTGGGTACCCGTATCTATAAAGAAATCACGTGCATAAGTATCCTCTTTGCATAACAACGGTTACGTAATTCAGTGTAAAACTATCACTTTCCGATAGTCCTATTACACAACTGCCGTCTGTAAAAGGCACCAAACTCTATATAATTCTACTGGGCATTCTAACACACATCTGGACTAAATATTTCTTTGAAAACCTTGAACGGCATAAAACAAAACTGCAGATGGAATCCTGAAATGTTCAGTATTGCAAATACTTTTTTTTATGGCGAAACAGTATACTACATACCGATCGTTTGGACAAATCGCATGATGGGACACACACTTAGTTATCGAGGAACTCCTATATGAGCTAAAACAGTTTAATATATGAACGTAAAACACTAACTATAAGTTTGAAAAAAAAAAGCATTGTCTATATCGACGTCTGAGTAAGTCTTTGCTAATAAGAAATAACAATTCATATATTTATTTTTCATATATTTCAATATTATCCTTGAAAGAATATTTCGTTTCCTCTCTTCTTAATACAACGGTAACAAATGCGGAACTGGCAGAATGTCTACAGATTGATATCCCCTCAATGTGCAAAACAATCAAGAAAAGTGCATGACATAAGTTTTGCGATAATTTTGCAGACGTTAACAGTAAATCATCAAATAAGACATGTAAAATAATATTGCTGTGGGGTATGTACTGTTCCAGGCAGTCCTATTACATACATCGTGTGTTATTTACTATTGTTCCGTGTCAAAAATAACTGGTGCTTTGTCACAAGTGTATCTTGTTGCTGTGTCCACTTTCCATCTTCTTCTATATATGTTTTCTATTACTGCGATAAAGAATGCTCCATTTCATCTTCAGTGATAACTCCGTTTCTTTGTGATTTGTAGATACCGGCTCCGTAGACTTTGAGAGTTTCCTGGACGTTGTGATGAGTCGTGACATTGATGACGAAGACCACGAGAGGGCGCTACGCGAGGCCTTTAAAATGTTTGACAGGGACGGGAATGGCTATATAGACGCAGAGGAATTGCGGCTATGTATGATGAATCTAGGTGAAAAACTAACACAAGACGAGGTAGAAGAAATGATCCGAGAAGTGGATGTCGACTTTGACGGTAGAATGAACTATGAAGGTACACATTCCTTAATTTATATTTAGTATAATATAGTTATTATTGTAGCGGAACTGGACTTGGTCGATCGTCGGCGACCAGATAGCTCAATTGGTAGAGCATCCGTCTAGATTTCGGAGGGTCTCTGGTTCGAATCCCGGTCTGACCTTTCATGTTTCCTCTCCTGTTACATTTGGCGCCCAACGAAATATACCCACAGAAGGTGGTATAGGGTTTCGTGTGTCCTCGGGGTCGAACACTTTGTTAAAGGAGGGAGGAATGTAGCGGAACTGGAATGGGTTGATCGTCGCCGACCATATAGCTCAATTGGTAGAGCATCCGTCTAGAGTTCGGAGGGTCCCGGTCTGGCCGTGCATTTTCCCTCTCCTGTTACATTATTATGACTGACCAAGGAAACTACATATGAATAGATTAGACAAGAGGCCGCGTAGGCCCAATGTTTAAAGTGCCAGACCATTTATGATCAGTGGACTTCCACCGATGGTCGCGGTACAAAGCCCGCAAGGGGCAGTCGCAAGGTACTGGACGCAGGTCGGTGATTTTTCTCTGGGTTCCCCGGTTTTCCTCCACAACCAAAACCTAATTCGTCCTTAAATGACATAAACTGTTTATAGGACATAAAGTACGAATAAACAAACCGTACGATTATGCGTAAACGGATACTAAATATCTGATAAAAAACACTGTTACTAACACCTTTCAACACCAGAGTTAGCATGCATTTTGATATGTTGTGATAAATTCTGAGATAAATTATTATAGAATTATAGCATGGTGATGAGATCGATACACGACCGAAATCACCATGCTACAAAAATTTTATTATTTTGATTGATATTTTCAAAATTGAAGAAAAAATGTAAAAATAAATAAAAAATAAATCCTTTTTTTTTAGTCACAAATTTTAAAACCAACTTAACAAAAATATCAGAAAGATAACATTTTTTAATCAAATATCTGGAGTATTCATTTAAATATCTGCAATAATCATTGATCAAATTACTGAATCAATCCTTTATTTTACTGGCACAGTTAGCAGCACTTTAAAATCCTGCGTTTGTCTTTGATAGGCAGTATCAAGCATCCAAGTGACTTCAGTGTTAATCTTGATCAGTACTGTGTTTGTCTCCCATGGGGTGTTGATCAAGCATCTAAATGACTTCACAAAAATTCCAGAATCTATTTATAGCAAGTCAATAACACTTTTTCTACCAACTTTTTTGAACACCTGCAAACCACTCAGGTTTATAACTACTTTTACAGGTGGTCACATGATGTTGTTTCAGCCAATCAGAGTCAGCTCAAAATTAATTAAAATAATAAGATCTGTTATAGGTATCAATATGTATCTCTGGACAAAACTTTAAAGATCTATGTTTAGATTATAGAGTTCAACAACTTCTCCCGTGGTTGTGTATTTCATCGAAGAGTCAATGCCCCATATGATATATCTAAACTATCAACATACTTAAAAGTATTTATACAATATTGATGCTGAGTAAACAAGTAGATATACGATATGTGATCCCTTGTTGTAATAAAATAAAGGTTCAAAAGCGGGTAACCTGGATGCTAACGATATACATGTAATAGGTTGGTATATCACTTATGAGGGTTGGAGCTCCCTAGATGTTTATAAAGGTAATTATCCACCAAAATAACCCCAAGTCTGCAACGGATGTTGTGGCCAAGTAGCACGCGCACTAATGATTCACATGTGTATTCAGCAGCTGCCGTGTACCGGGGTTTTAATATTGAATCATACACGTAGCAAGAGATATATATGACGTTTTATTGATAAATATTTACACTTGGTAGAGAAATACACCACAGTTCCATCATTGTTTACGATATAAGATTTATTGTTTCACTGTATTTACAGAGAGGACATTTAAAGTTTTATAAGAAAAATATCCTAAAAGCTGTCTCTTTGAATTATTGATACTAATTTGATTTCACAGTGAACTTCTTAATGTGGATGCTTTCCTTCTGTTTCAGAATTCGTCAAACTAATGTGTACAAAGTATCCGTTGACGTAGTAACCATGGTGATCGTCATCTACATTAATAACTTATCCTTTGCCTCAGGATCGGATGTGATGCCTGTGATACGTCACCAAATTACATCATCATAAGACATCATTTGATGGTGTGTTACTTTGCAAGTTCCTTGACAGATGAGGTTGCATGGGATATCTAACTCACATGTTTCTTACGGGTGACGTGGTGTTGACAAAACAGTCTGATGTTAAAAAGAATGTGCTCTTACATGCTGCAAAAGTGGTCGAGAAAAACGTTTTCTTCATCGAAATAAATATTTAGTAGAGATATGACGCCACCCTTTTCATGCAAGCTACTGACTTGCGTTTGAGTGAAATTTCTCTACATATGGAAGGGATTGAGAGCGGGTTCTTTGTTATTTGCGTGAGTTTATAACTAAAACGGATGCGTGAATACCTGCACACTTCAGTTTGAGTCTATGCATACTTGTGTATGGTGTGATATGTACATCATGTGTTTCTTTTTCATGTTATCTTAAAAATCGAGACAAATGTCTAGGTACAGATACAACAAAATGGCTAATAATGTTTGAAATATTGACTAAAAATTCTAAATCTTCTATCCCTAATCCACTTTTAGTCTTTAAATCTTTGTCTGTGTATTTGCCTACCTCGTTAAATTCATGGAGAAGACGACACTTCAAACTAAAGATAAAGCAAATTTAACAACAGCGTTTTCTGAAACCAGAAGTCCATCTTTGTGCATTTTATGAAGCTGTCCAAGAAGGCCGAGGATAAGCGTTGGTAGTGCGTTGAGATTGTACGTTATAAATCGAAAACAGTGATCTTTGTAGGAATTTGAATGTCAGACGACGATTGCCTATTTTAATATGCAACATATATCGCTCACGATAAGGAAAAAATCCTCTTTTTCGTTTAAAAGTGTTTGATAAATTGCATGAAATACAATGCGTTTCTAAGGACCTCTCTAGCGCTTTCACCTCTTATATATAGAGAGTAACGGCATTGTTTTTGCAAGAGACTTGAGTCTTTAGATAAACCTTCACTGTCCATTTCAAGAGTATCCATATTTGAAAACAGAGAGAGATATCATTTCCGACGGCGACAATCCCACTACCGGTTGTTTATTTATGATGTGTTTGTTTGTTTGTTTGTTTGTTTGTTTGTTGACACCTAATACAGGAGTTATATCCTTTTAATCTGTTATTATTTTGTTGTTGTATATATTTGTATTTATACATACATTTACATAAATATTTGTATATTATTATTGAACCGTTTAATTCGAATGAGCGATTGTGGGATGAAAGCGAAAGTTGGTATGACTGTTTTTTTATAAATGTTTATTTGAATTGTATTCACGTTATATTTAGAATCAGGATCCGATATCTCGAAAAACAATTATTAAGCCCAATTTTTATTTGGAATTTACTAAAGATTATTAATCGGTTAAAAATTATATATATTTTTTCTGTTGATATGACATTTCTGTGTATAGAATTCTGCAATTTATCACAGCTAGGAGGAAAAGTGTGAAACAAATAAAAGAAAAGAATCCAAAAGCCGTATTATTCAAATTAAAGACAATGTGTACCAATATTTGCAAAAAAGCAAGTTATCACAGACCATCTCCAATTCTTCAACATTGCTATCATATTTTCATTATCATTTTCTTCATTGTGACTCCAGGATGGTAGGACCTCATATTTATCGTCTGAATTTAGGCGTTGCATAATTGCCGTCATTATTAAATAAAGCAATACGCAAAAATATGGCATTGGCGAATCAAATTCTTAACATGATATTTATGTGGTAAAAAAAGTGTTAAGGCTATTTTTCATTTCCTAAATAGAATTTTAATATTTCTTACATTATTTATTAGAATTGAAATCATTATGTCAGATAGAGTTAAACAGTTTTTACATGTAACACCTTTTGTGAGTAAAGCAAATTGTATTCTGAAAAGAAGCTCGAACGTAAGCATATCCCAGAAATCAGGAACAAATCTTACTCCTGAAACTGAAAACGTGTATGTTGTTTCAATCTTACTTGTTCAAGTGAAATTTTCTGTTTTTTCTTACCAAAATTTTGCCAGTTAGTTTGTATGTTATTCTTAATAAAATATTTGCATACAAATAACCGATAATTGGACATCATTATATTTCTATTTAAATGTTTGCGATTTAGTATATCGCTATAAATTTTTAAAACTATTTTCATTCAACCTCTGTGTGTTGCCTTCCATGTTATTACTTAGTAATTATATTACTTACAAAGTAACGACATGAACGAATATTGCGATTCGTAGCACACCATTATTTAAAAGTATATCGGTGAGTGTAACAAAACAATCTACATGTATATATATGGAATCATTGCACCGTTATACATAGCTTGCACAGTTTATTGTTCTTACTGAAACTGAAATTTTGTATAGAAAACAATATTGTATGGTTTGTGTGTTTAGGTCAAGCTATTGACAGTAAACAATTCAATGCGTGTCTCATCCCCGTCATATTCTGTGTTTTAATGGAAGAGACGAATTAGATTGAATGCATTTTTGTTGAAGATTTGTTTGTAAAATTTGTTTAAAATATTGGGAAGAAAACTAAGGTTTGTTCTTTATATGCCTGTGTTAAATAATCTCATAATGATTTGTTACTCGGCTAAAAAAACGGATCAAACAAAGTTCCTGTTTTGACTCCTAGCTGTGACACATGAATCAAACAAAAGTCAGATATTATTGTATATATTACTGGCACTCTGTTGATGTGAAGTATGTAATACAAAATTTAGTAAACTACAAAAAAGATTAGGCTAGGGATCATTTTGAAATGTTTATAGCAAAATATTATTGTACGAATGTGAAATATTACACAAAATTCCAAGTTCTAAGTAAAAAAAACACCCATTAAATATGGATTAAATTTGAACCCGGTTCATTAACATAAGGCCCTGGTCAGTTTGTATTCATGCGTTGGTAATCCTCGTGATGTAAGAGTCTTGTAAAGTAACACCTATACAATCAAGACACAAATACGTATTTGAATGCTGTACCCAAGGGTTCAGTGTCACACCAAAACTTTAAGTCACAAACATGCATACATCACATATTCAACTAATGCATTTTTCTCTTAACATTACATTAGCTGGGTCCTACATAAATATTTGGGACCGACACTTTAAAACAAGATTTAGGTCTAAGACTTTGTGGAGATTCTGGTGCCAACTTCATCTTTTTCACAATAAGACGATTTCCATCATTTACAATCGACGTTATGTCCAGAGCTTCCCTTTTTGTCATACATTGTTTCAGCATTCTTACAAATGTAATTTGAGAGTTCTGTTGAGGTACCTCTTTTCAAACATTTTTTTACATTAACATTAAAATTGTCACAAATAGATAACTGTGTTTTCTGTGTGTTTTGTTTAAAAAGTTTTCTCGAGAACGAGAACCCAATTGTATGGATATATTTTGTTGCGCCTGGCAGAGTTTCCACTACAACCCCAATATATTGAAATTATTATGGTGTGCAAAACTTGTTGAATATTGTTTTCTATATCTAGTTTGATTGGTGTATGCAATACAAATCTTTCTGTGATGTAGCAGAATAAATTTAGATTTAGTAAGAAAGATATTTCCCGAGCTTATCGAAATACCTAAACATGCGTAATACTAAATAGGTGGCAAGCAAGGCATCTTTTAATAAACATATCTACAAAACGGCTGTAGTGCCAGAAAGATTGCAATTATGTAATTTTGAATTACATACAAATAGAAGTTTTCGTATTATTTCAAGAGCGAAATGTGTGCTTAGACAGAGCGTCTCATTGCTCTATGTTTAACTCATTCACCCCTGAAATTTCATTATGAACTATTCCAATCTTTGAACTGGAAGAGTTCAATTGTGTCTTCAGTGGTAAATGAGATAATCTCGTACGAAGACGAGTTCAAATAGCTTCGTTATTTTTTCTGATTTTTAGTCGCTTGCCCATTTACAAGTAGTATAGCAAACAGTTATAATATAAACATATATAAGATATTACTGTACACTACTTTAATTTTCTATTTCCCGATATTAAAGACATCTCCACTTTCCTTTTATCACACTTATGTAAATAGTGTTTATTACCATCACATATTACACATGAAATAGACACGTACATAATATCAATAATTGATTTAAAATCAAAGACAGAAGTTTCAGTTACAATGTTGTACTTAACATACTCAGAATGATAAAAGAAGTACTTCCAGGGAACTTTTGATAGAATATTGACGTTTTTAATTGTTCTTTTCTGTAAACATCATCCGTGTTGTCTTGATTATATAGAAAGGTAAACATTGTTGGATTCATTAAACAATGTCATCCAATGTGTCTCGTAATGTTTAATGTTTAGTCAGACAACTTACCACGTTGTACCACGAGATAGCTCATAAACTCCGTGTTAATATGTAATTGAAATGTCTCTACTGCATCACATGATATAGATAACTTCGATATCTCATATAATTCTCGTTATATGAGATGTCTCTTTTCCATTTAAATAAAATATCTTTAATTAGTTTAAAGACAGCAGGTTTTGATTTGATATAGTTATGCACTCTACCTAAGGTTAAATAATGTAAAGATAACATGCCATAATGTTGTTTTCCAACCAATCTGTACCATATTTATTACAGTTTGCTCAACATCACTAGCGTTTAATACTGTATGTTTCAAGATATTTGACTTTTCGTTTAGCGAGGATTTACAATTGTCACTTCAAGTTATTAGTTTTGATAAATATTTTGACCTATTTTGATATATGGGGAAATACTCAACAGCAGATACACAATTAATAGCAGACACAAGAAACTATTCTCAAACAGGTCGACACATGTTTAAGTAATCTTTTAAACAGGAGACGTCAAAACGGAAACAATAAGTTATTATTAACAGCCGGTGTGTAGTTCTATTCGGCAGTTTGTGAAACATTATCAAACACAGGAATCGGAAATCTGTCATCATTCCGACTAATAGGATAAATGTCTTAGCTTTATTTTCGAGGCTATTTTTGTATTGCAATCAAATTGCCTCCCGTGCGTCATATTGTGGATGTGCGTCAGGGCCAATAAACGTTTCCACAGGCCCAGTGTCTATACTGCTATCGGCATGAGTGATATACAGGTACCTAGGTACACCTAGCCCGAGCGTATGTACTGCATTATATAAGTTAGATAAACAAATTACACGATCCCAAAATATAAAGCAAAAAGAAATACTTCTTTTGTAAAATCTTTATATTTATCGTTGTAAAATATACGATATTCAGTGTCATGCTGGTTCATGAGCAATGAGTAATAAAGCCCTTTCCTCAAATTCAAATTATTTATTCAAACTTGATACATTAAGTATTTTAAACTTAATTGGTTACTATAAAAAATTGAATTCACATTAAAACCAATAAGAATGGGTGCCTATTTTGGCCTGCTGGTGGCTATCACCGATTAGTTTTACCTTTTCCTATGACATACCTTTGTGTTATGTCTAAATTTGCACCTATCCTTTACTTTTGCATCAACTTAAAAAACGCTAATAAATGGCTTCAAATTTACAGTCTTGTTTGTAGACAGTAAGCATTATTTTTAATTAACCTGTTTTCGTTTGAAAATATTTTTTAACTTTTCTATTTTTGCAAATGAGTATAAAAAATTATCCTCACAGGTAAAGATAAATGTTATGATTAAAAATACAACAAATTTAACACCTGTTTCAGTGAGAAAATAATCTGACTTGACACTAATATTCGAAAGAACATATTTTTGTCAGAGGTATTGCAGAAGATGAATTTGAGATAATATTGATGTGCAGGGTCTTCTACCTCTTGTCAGGCAGTACCTTGCAGACTAAATCGCTGGCGATCTCCCAAGACGCTTAAGCATTCTAATTAGCTTTACGGGATAGCTTTTTTTCCTCTCGGAATATCTCACACAGCAATCGACATTAGACAGCAATGAAGAAAAACATGTATGTCGGAGACAGACGCATTGAAAGATTAATCAATTTCAGTAATAACAGGTCGTCTGTTGTGTTCCGTATTTGTCGTTGTTTTGGACCGCCTTTGGGTGTTACAGTCTGATGTTATGACTTCTGCCCGTCCACACCTATCGTCTGTCAGCAATGAACTCTCGCGATATTTCACGGGACTTCACACGATGATTGGCCAAGGTAACAGTAAGCCCTTAAACTCTTATGCCTTAATGTTGGTTATGTAGCTTCGAGGTGTTAAACCCATCATTTCTATAAATATGTCTTCTCTTACAAAATTACAAAGGAAAACATGAAAAAAGAGATGTAGCAGCACGTATAGTTCTGCTGCTTAATTGAAAGCACGTGTAAATTGTGCGCCAAGGGGTAGCTGAGGTTACTGTCCCCCTCCTTATCTTTCATCATAGACATAGAGCACAAATCAGCTATCCGAACTAATGAAAATTGGAATTTCTCCTGCTAACAGTCTATGTAATGAAGAAATGCGTCTACAGAAATAACCCACAATTACACGTACTGGTAACAACCAAACGCAAGGCCTTCATGGACAAGTTTTTATCTGTCATCTTATTTATGTAAGCAAACACCTCTCAATGGCTCCTTCTAATCAAGTGAGGTGTACGTCCTAAGTGAGGAAGACGGGATCGGTTTTTGTTACCGCCAAACGTAAACCCATACAAGTGACTTTATTAATAATAATACACTGTATATTTACGCATTCCTTTGCGATTTAGGGTTTACTTATCACGTGACATTATTATATAAGTTTATATAATTATCATGTGACCGTTACATGTGTTTTACCATATGACCCTTAAAATGCGACGAAAATGTTTTAGACATCGGTAACGTGTGCTGTTTCCTTACCTGAGGGCACTATACATGATTTTTTTAATGTTGCCGAGTTAGGGAGAAGTGCTTGTAATTTAGCGCGTCACACAACTTTCTGAGAAAAGTTATATTGCTAATATGACACATGAAATGATGATAATTGGGAGCGAAAATGTCACACTGCACGTCGAGACCTGGATTAAATATATAATGGAATGTACGTGACATTCGAGTGATGTAGCATAATAACTAGTGTATGCATACAAACGAATGCGGTTGTATTGATGGTGTGGTATACTTTGTCGATGTGTATTGAAGCTGTTGTATACTTTGTCATTATGTGTTGTTTCTGTGGTTTATTTTGTCACCGTGTGTTGACGCTGTGGTTTACTTTGTCACCGTGTGTTGACGCTGTGGTTTACTTTGTCATTGAGTGTTGACGCTGTGGTTTACTATGTCGCTTTGTGTTGACGCTGTTGTTTACTTTGTCGCCTTGTGTTGATGCTGTGATTTACTATGGCGCTGTGTGTTGACGCTGTGGTTTATTTTGTCACCGTGTGTTGACGCTGTGGTTTCCTTGTCATTGAGTGTTGACGCTGTGGTTTACTATGTCGCTGTGTGTTGAGGCTGTTGTTTACTTTGTTGTTGTGTGTTGACGTTGTTGTTTACTTTGTCGCGTTGTGTTGACGCTGTGGTTAGCTTTGTTGCTGTGTGTTGACGTTGTTGTTTACTTTGTCGTGTTGTGTTGACGCTGTTGTTTACTTTGTTGCTGTGTGTTGACGTCGGGGTTAACTTTGTTGCTGTGTGTTGACGTTGGGGTATACTTTGTTGCTGTGTGTTGATGCTGTTGTTTACTTTGTCGCGTTTTGTTGATGCTGTTGTATACTTTGTTGCTGTGTATTGACGCCGTTGTTTACTTTGTCGCGTTTTGTTGACGCTGTGGTATACTTTGTTTCTGTGTGTTGATGCTGTGGTTTACTTTGTTGCTTTGTGTTGACGCTGTGGTATACTTTGTTGCTGTGTGTTGACGCTGTGGTTTACTATGTCGCTGTGTGTTGACGCTGTTATTTACTTTGTCACCGTGTGTTGACGCTGTGGTTTACTTTGTCATTGAGTGTTGACGCTGTGGTTCATTTTGTTGCTGTGTGTTGACGCTGTGGTTTACTATCTCGCGTTGTGTTGATGCTGTGGTATACTTTGTCATCGTGGGTTGACGCTGTGGTTTATTTTGTTGCTGTGTTTTGACGCTGGGGTATACTTTGTTGTCGCTGTTTGTTGATGCTGTGGTATACTTTGTTGCTGTGTGTTGACGCTGTGGTTTACTATCTCGCGTTGTGTTGATGCTGTGGTATACTTTGTTGCTGTATATTGACGCTGTCGTTTACTTTGTCGCGTTGTGTTGACACTGTGGTATACTTTGTTGCTGTGTGTTGATGCTGTGGTTTGCTTTGTTGTTTTGTGTTGACGCTGGGGTATACTTTGTTGTCGCTGTTTGTTGATGCTGTGGTATACTTTGTTGCTGTGTTTTGACGCTGTTGTTTACTTTGTCGCGCTGTGTTGACGCTGTGGTATACTTTGTTGCTGTGTGATGACGCTGTGGTTTACTATGTCGCTGTGTGTTGACGCTGTTATTTACTTT